ATGGTACAGCTCTGGGCTCTGGGGAGGCGGGGGGAAGCTGTCACTTGTCACCCTGTGCCGCTCCCACCGTAGCACGGTGTGCTGTTGCCGCAGCTTCTCTTCCAGATATTTGAATGTCCTGGATTTCTGACGTCGTTGGTATCCCAGGACATGGTTTGGTCACTGTCTGCTTCGTCCTTCGTGTGTTGTCCTTGGCAGCCATAAGTGGCTTTTGCTGTGGTGCAGACATTATGGAGAGGTGTTAAAGTGGAATAAATAACTTGGCCTTGAACTGTTATGTCAAAACTTAGAAGAACATCCTTGTATTGCTGTCACTTTTCTTGTTCTCAGTTTCTATGGTAGTTTTACAGTGTGGCAGAAAGGCAAACATGGAGTGATAATAGTATATTGACAAGACTTAGAGTAGGAAGCGGGATCTACAGGAAATCTGAGATTAAAATAAAAGAAGCTTTAGGGCCACAAAAATGATCAGAGGGATGGAACACTCCTCCTATGAAGAAAGGCTGAGGGAGTTGGGGTTGTTCAGCCTGGAGAAGAGAAGGCTCCAGGGAGTGGTGTTTCAGTACTTAAAGAGGACTTACAGGAAAGTTGGAGACAGACTTTAGCAGGGGCTTTAGCGATAGGACAAGGGGTAATGGTTTTAAACTGAAAGAGGGGAGATTTAGGCAAGATATCAGGAAGAAAATTGTTATAATGAGAGTGATGAAACACTAGAAAGGCTTGCCCAGAGAGGTGGTAGGTGCCCCATCCCTGGAAACATTCAAGGTCAGGCTGGACGGGGCTCTGAGCAACCTGACCTAGCTGAAGGTGTCCCTGCTCTCTGCAGGGGGTTGGACTAGATGACCTTTCAAGGTCCTTTCCAACCCAAACCTGAACCATGCTGCGGTTCTGCAGCAGATGAACTGATGCAATTGCTGGCTGCTGGAGTCCTGCCCCCTCTTGTCCTCTGCTGGTTGCAGTACTCCAGACACTTGAAAATACTTGGATACTAGACTGGTAGCAGACTAACCCAGTAACAACAAAAAAAGTATTTTCTGCTGGGTTAGCACTCAGAAATGATGATATGTGAAGGTTCAGTAAGAGACAAAAGTTGGAGGAGGGCGAGGGGTGAAATTGCAGCAACCAGCAGCTAAGTTGGTGTTGACTGCTGTGAATCTTCAGCCTCTGCTTTATGTGTGTCACTCTGTCAGGAGATGTAGTGAAAACAGTCCTCTGCTCCCTAAACAGGTTAGCTTGGAACAATCCCTTACGGGGTTTTTTTTTTCCCCCAGGATTGCTAGCTTTGAATTAAGTAATTGCAAGAGAGCTAATAAATTATAGTTTCAGTTTTGGTAGTTCAGTCACAGCTTATTCTAAGGGGTTTGGCTTTTGTGGGGGGGTTTTTGTTTTGTTGGTTGGTTGGATTTTTTTTGCTTTTACTTAACGGTGTGGAGTTTTTCAGGTACCTACTAAAAGTGTTTTTTCATGTTCTGAGTTGCCTAGCACGTGTTTGTAGGGGACAGCATTTTAACTCCAATTCCCAATTTTCTCCATGTACCACAGAAGCAAGTAGCTTTTTATACTTTCTTTCCATTTCTCTTTCAGCTGTGCTGGGGTGTGTAGGTATGAAGGAAAAGGTGGAATGTGTTCCATTCGTTTAAGTGAGCCGCTCCTGAAGTTAAGGCCAAGGAAGGATCTCGTTGAGGTATTTGAAGATTGCTCATGAATCTGCATATAAAATGTATTGCGCCTCTCCCCCAGTCCATACAAACATTGCACATTTCATAGTGGGATTCTTATATACAGTGACTCATAGATCGTAAAATAGTGGTGGCTTTATTGTTATGTTTGTGTTGCAATATCATTATAATCTTTCAGTTTTATGTTTCTAAATGGGCAACTCTGAGTAGAAGTCTAAAGTCACTTGTCTGTTTTACTGACTTTATAATACAGAAAAAAACCCTTTTTTTACTCCTAATTTATCCTCCGATGTTAAAAACAAGCATGGACTGAAAGCAGAATCAGAAAATGGCTGTAGTTTCATCTTTTAGGTCAAAAGGCCAACAGCTGAAAATAAGGATATAGGGATATCACTGTAAACATAACTTTGTGTTGCTTCTTATGCCTGTCAGGGCTGCTGCTTTGATTTGGCTCAACATTTGTATTTGCTTAATGAACAGAAATGCACTAGAGTTTCAACTTTCTCACAAGTGTCATTTTTTTTTGGGTTGTAGAGGGGATGATCTCTTTAAAGATCTAACTTAAGTTTGAGCACTGTTTCTCCTTTTTGGAATGTTACTTATTGTAGTAATATTCCCCAGCATGTTTTGGTGGTACAGGAATAGAGGTAATTTGATTTGACAGGTAGAATAAGTATTACGACTTTACCACCCAGACTGAACATGTGAATGCATGAAAATAAGATCAGTACCAACAGAAATGTAGGGGAGTAAAATACTTCCAGCTTGTTCTGATACTGCATGTGATGCTTTTCAGTAAATAGCTAATGATTTGCATTGTTTCAGACACTGTTGCACGAAATGATCCATGCCCTGCTTTTTGTTACTAATAATGACAAAGATCGTGAATCTCATGGGCCAGAGTTCTGCAAACACATGCGTCGCATTAATCGCTTGACTGGAGCCAATGTCACAGTAAGCATAATCCACTTAGCCTAATTTAGTAGAGGTTTCTTCCTGCTTTGTTTTTTTAGTATGCCTGGTGTGGCATCAGTGATATACTTGTTCTTCTTAGACACTCCGCAGTTGGTACCAATAAAAATCTTCATCCAAGTGTATGCCAGTTCTATAGTTATTTTGTTGGGGATGATGTTTTCAGGTTTACCCTCTGGGAGTATTTTTCTTTAAACTCTTGTTTTAAACTTGAGACAACTTAATGATACCAGGGACAAAGTAGCTCTGTGTTCAGAATAATATCTGAGGAAGAGCAGTCTGTTTTAGTAAAGACTTATATGAGTAGAGGCTAATGGGTTGATGATATTTAAAAGTAATGTGTCTGTTAACATCGATTAAGATAACAGCTGGAGGGAGACTACAATACTGGTATTGTTTACAATGCATTCTACTCAGTATGTCATTTAGGGTGAAATTGTAGGTAGATTTTCAAGGTGATTTTCACAGAATGTTGGAGATTGGAAGGGACCTCGAAAGATCATCTAGTCCAATCCCCCTGCCAGAGCAGGAATCTAAACGAAATTACACAGGAAGGCGTCCAGGTGGGTCTTGAATGTCTCCAGAGAAGGAGACTCCACAACCTCTCTGGGCAGCCTGTTCCAGTGCTCTGGCACCCTCACCATAAAGTTTTTTCTCAAGTTTAAGCGGAACCTCCTGTGT